CAAAATATATATTGTGTGTTTGAGTGGTCCAGACGCTACAAAAGCATCCAAAGTAGTTTGACCAATAATATGCAGGTATTGTACATAATCGACCAATCGCGGCGCGTGAGAAGGTGAGATCTACAGAGAACGATCAAAGCAATGCAAATACGTGTACGTGTTTGGTCGTTTGTTCGACTTGAAGCGTCGCTGCGCACCGATCATTGAATGACACCAAAGTACCGCGAGAGCGATTCGAAAGCATAAAGAGCCGTCTGCTCTGCTCTCTATAGCTCTCGTGAATGCCATACAATGATCGATCTGCACAGTGCAAACTATATTTTAGGCAATATAGAAATCCTGGCAAGGACGCGTCCCGTAAAAATGACCCGTATGGTCACCCTATTTATAAGTCGTGTGTCCGAAAAAAAATTAAATTAAGTATGTCAAGTTACGAGCACGTGTTTGTTTGTTCTTTCGACTTGAATCGTCGCTGCGCACCGATCATTGTATGACACCAAAGTACTGCAAGAGTGATTCGAAAGCAGCAGGAGCCGTCTGCTCTGCTCTCTATAGCTCTCGTGAATGTCATACAACGATTGATCTGCACAGTGCAAACAGCCAAAAGCTGGATATTTTAGGCAATATAGAAATCCTGGCAAGGACGCGTCCCGTAAAAAAAAAAAATCCAGTTGAGACCAATCTGGTGTGCAATCTGGCAAGCAATGCATCCTTAAAACTTCAAAGAGTAAATCTCTCACATACGGTGAAGTTAGCGTGGCTTTCCTCTTAAATACAGAGATGTGCTAATCCATCCGGTAGACAGATTAATGGATCAAGTTTACACCACTGAACTATATATGTGTACAGGGCCTTGCAACCATTCGGTGAGTCAGTAGCTCACTGGTTAAACCTGCAGTTATTTGCAGTTGTCAAATATCTGATTGGTCTTACACTTGTATTTCTTCATGCAGCATTAACACGACAATAAAATTGTGAGTGATTTCAGATAAGGTTTTCGAAGACGAAACCAAACATCGTATTTTTAAATGTTCACCATATAACGGATAATTAATCTGTCCTGAACGCCTGTAAAACCTGAACCTTACACTAGCCGGCTTGACAAAGTGATGCTATGATTACACAAGTCTTGAGGAATTCAACCACTAATCTCCAGCGCAGCTGCCGCAACAAAGCCTGCTGGTGCCAGCGCAACAATTGCGAACTCACAAGGAGTCAATGTTGTGTAATATCACTGGATAAAAAAAAACTCACATTGGCTATCTGAGCTGAATGATGAAAAGTTTTTAATAGATGTTCTGCGTCTGCCAGTCTTAGATTCAATTTTGCGTGTGCTGCATCGCAAGGAAGGAAAACAGGCCAGGGATGCGGTTGTCTAGGGATCGCAGTTTCCTTTGGGGACGATTATGAAATGGCGAGTAATACCTTCAACCCATCTGTCACGCTCAGTATCGACGCAAAGAGACAGATGATGTTGAATGTTATTTCCCCTCCTAGGTGCTCTCATGAGAAAATCTGCCATCCCGAACCACATAGAAACATCTTTTGAATATCTGTGTCTGAAATGATTGTCATATAGTCCAAAAAATGTAGCCTACTCTTTCAAAGGAAATTGATTTCCAAATTATGCCATCTTTCGGGACAGATGAGGGTGGATATGTCCATGTATACTGTACCAGAAACTATCTCTTTGGCTTTGATTCTTTATAGCGTCTATGTCTTTGAGATTGTTTTGGACAGTTTGTAAACGCAGAGTTTTGTTCCATCTAGTTCTTAAATTGGCAGTAAACACTTCACAGTAACTAGCAGAAAACAACACCCATGTTGACGGTCCCTCATTGGCAGAATCTTTGCTTTGAGAAAGAGTAGCTAAAAGGGCCTGTGTTTTGAGGTGCAATTGGCTAATCAAGTGTTTCTGGCTAACTGG